AGATGCTTTTCTAAAATTTTAGTTCGTAGTTCTAATATTACTCCTTGTGGGATCGATATCTAGGACTCCAATAGAGCCCTATATTACTTGAGCGATACGTATACTTGCGTTGATAAGTGTGACTTTACAATTATTGAATATTTTATACATATATCTTTATCGAATCTATAATTGTTATTAAGTTTTTGGTGCAGTTGCTGAAGAATTAATTCTTTTAGCAGCAGTATTAAATACTTATATTTTTAAGCATATATAAAGTCACTGTCAGGTAGAGAGAGGGAGAGGAGGTAAGTGAAGTGTGATGGTTTGGCTAATAGCGAGAGGGAGATAAAAGTTTGAATTGTTACTCAATATGATTGAAGTAAATAAAATTCACATCAAGGAGGAGTGATAAGATTGATGCTATTTCTCCGATATTCTAAAATATCCTATCTTTTGTTAAGTAGAAGATTATGGGTCATTCGAAAGAATACTATAAAATATTTAATTAGGAAGAATCTACAGTATTTTTTCTAAAAAGTAATTAATGTAAGAGTTTACAATATTGTATATTTAGTCTCTTATGACTATAAATAGTCATGACTTGTTATTGTCATCTAAACTGAAACTCTTCAGCAAAGTTTAGTAATAAATTTTTCTCTCTTCTCTTCTAAAAAATTCCAATAATCATCTTTTCAGCTAAAGCGAACTCATGAAATTATTATTTAGAAAGGCATCAAATCAAATAAAATCAAACTTGTAATATCTACTAATAACATGAATTATATATCTTACATAAATCGAACAACTCCTTAATTTCAAATGGACAAATCCTAATTTCAATATGTTACATAACAATCTGAAGAAAAAGATATTGAAGAGAAATATAGAATTCGTTCCCACGAAATGAAGGCTTCATATTTTATTTAACAAAACAAAGTTTATCAAACTTCATCCTATCATTCAGCACGCATTATTCTTTCACAAACACAATTGAAATCTTTCATGCACATAATTGAAATCTGCAACATTCATAATTTATCATGACAATCAGACCATATATATGACTTAATGTATTGGTTTAAAATTGCATAGTTGAGAGAAAGGGAAGGGAGGATCGAAGTAGGAGCCATTTAGGATGGCTTTTGTTATGATTTTATTTGCAGCCTCTGTGGCATGAATTCCATCCCAACTGACGTAATTTTGTGGATCCCTGCAAGCACTTGATGTCACATTTATGCCGTTGATTATCTTGCTGTTACCACAGAAGACTTGTGGATTGAAATTATAAGCTTTACCGCCAGAACCACAGCATGCTTTAGTTCCATGTGCTAGTCCTGATACACAGAAGCTTGTCTGATCACTATAAAAGAGATTAGCAAACCTAAAGAAGTGACAGTATGAGTTAACGTAGAACTAATTACAGGAAGAAAAAAGAATTTAAGAAAGGTTGCTTGTAAATCTATTTTTTATATATAAAATTCAAATTGGAATTTTTTTATTTTTTGTAAATAAAAAATTGGATCTTTTGCATGCTAAGATAAACAGTGACGATTATAAAAAAGAATATCATGAACTTGATTGTGATACCCCAAATTGATATAATAATTCTCTTTTGTACTCTTGCAAGCTTTAATATGATTAATAACTAGATATGTAACAATAGAAATAGAAAAAATTTGGAGATATAAATTTTTTTTTGAAAATAGTAAAATTAGTAATTCACTATTCAATTAGAAATAATATGAAGACAAAATAAATTTTAAAAGTAAAAGTTGCAAATTTACCAACTGCTTTTTCCACATGAAATTAATGAACAAATAAAATTATTCTTTATATATATATATATATATATCGTTGTTTGTGTTTCTCTATTTATTTCTATATTACCTATAACCAAACAATTATGTCAATATGAATCTTCATTGAATAAAGTTGGGACAGAGTTGTATTATACTGTTTGTAATATATTATGTCGTGTTATCATATATGAAATAAAATCATCTTTATTTTTATGGATAAAAACAGGTTTCTTTGCTCAGCTTGCCATGCATGCATGATCGCGAAAACATGGGGGTTTTTGGATACGTCGTCCTCCATTACATAAGCATCACTTAAATTAGAATTGTGTTCTAAGCAAACAAATAGATTTAATGTCGGTTTTTTTTAAATTTTGTTTTTAAAATAAAACTTTAGCCCAACCTAGAAATCTATGGTTGTTTCATTTGAATCATGTCCACGATAAAAGTTCGATTCAAGGCAAAATTGACTTATTTGCCAACTGGAATAAACAAGCACAAGCAGTACAAGTCCAGAAATCCTTATCAATTGCAAAGTAAAAAACTAAAGATGGATGTGTGGCTAACCATGTTTTTTTGGATGCTGAAAGAGTTCAAGCTTAACAGAATGGGTGTCCACATATATCACAGAGGCATTCGGGAGCTGAGATCTAATCTGCTCCAGAGATTCTTTCAGCAATTTGTTATAATCCACAACAGCCTTATTGTACGAAATCATACACCCATACTCATCCAAATCTGACTTGTTATGAGGAAGTTCGGTTAAGAATGCGGGAAAGCATCCTATAGGTGCGAGGTTAAACACCATGAATGTTCTTCCTCCAATATCATATAGCTCCTGCTCCATATGGATGATTCCATTAGCTCAATAAGATAGAAAAAAATTGAGGAAAAAATATTACAATCTTTTCATCAAAATAATCAAGTTACCTATTTTCTTCAAGAAAAAAAAAAAAAAAAATCATGTAGTTTATTATGTATGCTATGACAAGTAAGTTTTGATTTTTGGGTCCATTCGGGGTAACTTATAAGTGCGGGTGACGTTTTTAAAACGTTGTCTTATCGTTTATGTTTCGGCAGCTTATCCGAAAACGCAGTTGGGTTTTTACATTAAACGCAGGTCGCGGGTCGAACTCCGCGGGCCACGTTTTAAGATAAGCTGCTTATCTGGATAAACACAAGCTGACTCAAATACACCCTTAATTTCGAAATACAATTTTCATTTGGTTGAAATAAATATTTAGAAAATTTTAAATTTACACTTGCACCAAACATGAAATCAGTATAATATTTTATTTGATATAATAGCGTGCATAGAATTAGCTTACCTTAATAGTCCATGCAATTTGGCTGGCTACTTGGGGGAGGAACTTCTCGTCTCCGTCGATGCCTATTGTTGCTAAATTGGAGGTGAAGTCATTCTGCCCGATGTCCAAAGTGTATAAAGCTTTATCAAAGATGTCCTTCGAAGGAAGGCTGTCTGCATTACAGTGTATAAATGAGCCTCGGATAGAGTTTGTTTTGAAGGTAAGAAGCCAAAAAAATCATGACTAAATAAAAAAAAAAAAAGAAAGAATGTGGTCTCAAAAATTTTCTTGTACTGTAAGATACTCGCACAACGTTTCAGAGCCAAAAAAATCATGACTAAATAAAAAAAAAAAAAAGAAAGAATGTGGTGTCAAAAATTTTCCTGTACTAGAATTAAAAACACTTCTATTATAAAACCACAGGGCATAATTCAATAAACTATATTACTCTCTCTCAGAGTAGAACACAATTACTACATCATAACACCTAATACAAATTTGTATAAGGTGTCCAATAACAGAGGGTGAAATGACAATTTGGGTCTACTGACACCCATGCGCCTAGGTCGTCATGTGTCACACTATTATTGGACAGCTAACGCAAACAATTATTTTTAGTAGAACACACCTTGTGGGCTCATTTCAAAGACCCGTACCCGGAGCTCATTCATCTGATTGAACTGAATCGCCAAAGAGAAGGGACTTATTCCTGTTACAAATAGACTGGTGTTGGGCAGCAGCACCGTCGATGCCGCAGTAGCAAAATTAGCGCCATGGCTGAAGTTGGAGCCAATGGACTGCAGGTAAGGGCTCAGAAACGGCAAGCCAAGAGCCTGGGCTACACTCCCCAAAAAATACAAACGTAAAGAAAGGGGCTTCAACAAAAAAAAAATTCAAAAATAAATGAAGCCGCATAAAAGCAGGCTGACCGAGTACCTAAGAAATCAATGACCCTTCCATCTGAAGCACGCCCGGCTGGCTTCTTGAAGTAAGTCATTCCAAATGGAAGTCGCTGAGCCGGAAATGCCGCCCAGAAACCTCCGGTGTCGGAATTTGAGTCCCCAAAGTTGAAAATGGCTGGAAAGCTGCAGCTGGCCTCAATTGGTGTGGCTGATAAAAAGAGAAGGAAGAAGACAGCCTGAGGGGCGAGAGAACGCCGGCGATTGGAGTGGGATCCAGTTTTCCGGAGGCCCATCTCAAGCAGAATGTTATATGCCCTTAAATTATTCACCATGGGAAGATTTTATAGAGATGCAGAATGCATCAATTAGCATGTGTGATTTGGAACGAAAGTCTGCTGTTTGGTGTTAAGGAACAGCAGTGGATTTGTTGCCCTGAGAACGCAAGGAAAGAGCTAGCAACTTTGGATTCCATACTCGAAGTTTATCAACTTTAAAAAACTAAAAAAGAAAAAAACAAAAAGACTGGATTTCACTGCTGATCTAAACAGCTGGACTGTTGTTGTCTGCTTCTAATGAGAGTTTCGAGGATTAGCATAAGACTGTCGTTAATCGTAAACCATTTTATGCTTACACTCAATCCCTCGCAACCAATAGGAGAGCCAAAGCTCATCCTAATTGGATTTCGATCTCACGTTTGGCATCTGCGGAAACTGGAAACGGGTCAACAAGCAAGCAATTGAGAAGCAATGTGACAATATCTCCTTTGTGAAGATGAAGACTTTACTCAGGATTTGTTTAGAGAATCACGAGGAGATTTTACGAGTAATATGTTGCTTCAAATAGTAATAAAGTTGCGATACTTCCTGTATTTTAACAGATAAGTATTTCAAAATGAACAATATACCCTCATTAGCCCCAAAACATCAAAATGTGCAACATTAATACTCAGTCACTCGAGACAGTATTCCATCTAGAGGAGACAGTATTGCATCTAGAGTTTGGAAGCAGCTCACGTCCAAACTCTAATTAAATTTAGTCATCTATAAAGTGTCGAACCCGTTGAAAAAATAAGAAAAAGCAGAGTATTTTCGCACGTGACCCTGCCTGAGCCAGTCTGTAAATTAGGAAAGAATATGGAGCACAAATCAGAATCCGGCTCACAGTTCAAAATCTGGAGCATTTTTTCATTTCATCTTTTCGGGCTAGGAATTTGTGTGGTCGGAGGGTTTTCTTGTAGTTTTTTTGTTATGATTTAAACGATACCCTTGTGTTATTTGCGAACAACACATTAGGTGAGCAATATTGAAGATGGAATTGAAAATAATGGCGACAAGCTTGAAATGTATGTGAGTTTAGCTGCATTTCAAATTTTGACATTACTTTATCTTTACCTAATGTCATTTGTACTCTGAATCAATAGTATTGTATTAGTTTTGAGGTGTTTTTGTGATGAATTTGTATTAGTATTTTAGAGTTATTCTAGTGGTGATTTTTTGTGGTATTTAGTGTTATTTTTATTGATTTTTTGAGGCATTGAGGTGATTTTGAAGTTATATTGTGATCATATTTTGGAAGTATTGTTGAGGTATCGTCCTATTATTTTGTTGGTATTGTAGTAGTTTCTAATGTTATTGTGATGATATTGTGGTTATATTATAGTGAGATTAATGTGGTATTTTGTTCATTTTTTAGTGTTTTTGTGGTGATATTGTGATGGTATAGTAATGATATTATGAAGGTATTGTGGTAAAATTGTGGCGGTATTGTGATAATTTTGTGGTGGTATTGTATTGGTTTTGTGATGGTAATGTGGTAATTTAGGGGTTATATTATCGCGGTATTGTGGTGATATTGTGGTGATTTTGAGGTGATATTACAGTGATTTTTTGTGTGGTATTGTGGTACTATTGTGGTTGTACGAATGTAGTATTGTGATAATTTTGTAGTGATATTATGGTAATTTTGTGGTGGTATTATGGTGATATTGAGGTAGTATTTGTGGAGGTACTGCGTTGGTAATATGATGATTTTATAGATGTATATATATATATATATATATATTAGTAGTTTTTTTTTGTAGATTTTTTTAAAAGTTGAGCGATTCCTTTCTTTTGGTAAGAAAAAGATAATTTTTTCATTAATTTGTGTGTTAATGCATCATCTTTTTCCACTATTATTCAACATCACAGGACAAACACATAAAAAAATTACAGCATTTAAAAATGGCTCACTATTTATAAAACAAACAATAATCTTTATGAAATAAATATTGATATATATAGATAAAAATTCACTTTGGCACCATCATGGATTTTAATGTAGTATTTAATTAATTTTTTTGATCTATCAAAACTTTATCACAAAAATGTGGACATCATGCTCTCAAATTTGCATTGCAAAATATTTTAAAATCTCTTCAATAGAGCCAGCATACTCCAACTTAAGCTTGTTTATAGACAATGACTCTCATCATGGCAATTCTCGATGGTAAAATTACACAAATTGGAGCCTGTTTAATCTGTATAGTATATGAAATTTGTCAAACCAGACCTATTTAGTCAAGTCTAGCTAGCATGTCATGGTCTCCTCTCCATTTGCAAAAGGGGCATTCGTATCCCACCCTTTTGTGACAGTCAGTAAATTTGAACCAATTTGATTAATTAGTTGAAGGCAAGGCAAAGTGATGATTAACTCCTCTTGTCTTGCTGCTGAGATCTGGCCTTCAATGATGATACTAAATAAAGAATTTACAAAATTTGTCTTTCAAGATCTGTTCTTCTTGAGGCACTTGTGGCCTCTAAAGGAGAACAATTTGCAAGCTATCTATGAAATCAAAAGGTTCTCATGTTACCCATATGTTATCTTAAAATTGTAGTAGTCAGATGCCATACTTTGGCAAATTGAGTATAATCTTAAAATAAATTTATGAATACTATATAATTAAAGAACTTAAGTGTCTTATTTTTTTATAATATTACTAAAAAAAAGTTTACCACGTTATTTAAGAAACATACAACTACAGAAGATTTATTTTAAAATCAAATAATAATATAAACAAGTATAGCATAACAAATTTACATTTCATCCATTCTCTTCAAACCAAACAGATACAAAGGAATCACCCCAAATGTTTTTTGTCAATTAAGATCATACCAAAATGAAAACTTATATTAAAAAAAACACAAATTATATCTCAACGCAAAATAAATGAACATATAATTCCGTTTAAATCATGTTAATTGGCGCTCAGGAACTGATCAAGTAAACTCTGTGCATCACACATTTTTCCACTGGAAGATAGAGATGACGGTAGAGAGAATAGTGAGCAAGATGACAAATGCAGCAGCTATAACAGATATGCATGACCAAGGATTCCTAAAATATGTATGCACCAGGTTCGCCTTCCAATTATTCCACCTTTTCCGACAATACTTCTCCACCGACACCTGCACTGACCCCAAACTTCCTCCTTGGTCCACTATCACCTCCCTGCTCATACTGTTAAAAAGCCTTGCAAAGTCATCGTCACTCCCCAGCCCATTGTTGACAAGTCCATTTTTGTGCAACAGTTGCACATCCTCAGCTGAGTCCACCAGCGCGTCCATGAAGGCAAGATAGGAAGATATTTCGCTGCCGCACCCTGCATGTAGGTGTTCCAGGGCAACCATGTTGAGAAACTCGTACTGGGTGGTGTCATCCACGGTTATGCAGGGCAGCGTGAGGATGCCACAGCGTGGCTTAAAATCAATGGCTGTGAGGGCGGTGGAAGGGCTCTGTTGGAAGGTGATGCCGGCCTCATGGAGCCGCGTGGCAGAGCGCATCAGGGCGAAGTCGGTGATGGGAGGACGTGGACTTCTCAGTGGTTGGTTGGATTTCGAGAACATGAAGAGTCTGCTTCGGCGGTAGATGTCCAAGGCATGGAAGCCGTGGATTGCTTGTGTGAATTCTTTGAGGCCCGTTTTGTCTTCGTAGATGCTCGGCACAAAGAATTTAACGACTAGTTCCGTGATTTCACGTTCCGCTTCCTGAAAATACATAAATTTTAAAATATATGCAAGTTGTTAACCCGGATTTAAAAAGGATTTACGTAAATATAGTCAAATATGCCCAGAATTAGCATCCAATTCTTATGCATTTATATATCTCACAACAAGACACTAATTTTTACAAATACAGCATCCAATTTACACTTTTCAACAATATAGAACAGTGAAATTCACATTTTCATGCATAGGTAAGATATTGTAGTTGTAAAAATCAAAATTTTGATGTGAGACACTTGAATGAATAAGAATTGGCTGCCGTGCATGTAAATTTTCCAAAATTGATTTCACAATTCGTTGAATCCAATATTTTTTTTTTGCTTCCGTAATGTTTTTTTAAGTAAGTTCAAATTTATTTAATTTCATAATTACGTGGATTTAAGGGATTTGGGTTAGAAATAAAATAATAAGAGTCGATTTATGCCAAATATCATAAACTAATTTAATGAATTTTACAATAAAATGACCAAATACTATGCTGAATTCATATCTTTTGGTTTTAATACATCTGAATTCTCTAAATTTAGAAAAGGAAATCAGTATTTGACAAAGACCCAAATATTGATTTCTCATGCGCTAGGCCTCATGATGAGAGCCCGTGTCATGCGCCTAAATATTTGAGAAACCAGCGCCGCTGATGATGGAACTAGTGACCTGAGGGGACTTACAATAAACCCCGCCAACAGACATAAATATATAAACGCGCTGTGTGGATAACTAATAATTACATTTTCATCTACGTTTTTTTCAACAGAGACCAGCTTCTTGAATGCCAATATAGGCAGTTGGTTCTCCAGAATCAACATGTCCCTCCTCATGTAAGGAATCTTGTGCTGCAACGCATGCAGACCAAAGAAAGGATCGCTAGGGGCATAATGTTTACAATGCTCCGAATCGAGCCTCATTACTTCCAGCATGAAGCAGCCATCAACTATCATAAGCTTTATGAAATTATCTTGATCCCTCCATTCCTCCTCAAGCCCAACGTACGAGCCCTGCAGCTCCTTTACTACAGTCTTAATTTCTCTCACATAAACTTCCAGAGACTTGAGACTCCTCTTCAGGAAGTGGTGGAGAGCCCTTTCCTTGTGAAACTCTATTGGTTGAAGATGATTTTTGCCATGATGGTAGGGACCGATTGCGACAACTTTTGGCGTGAACACATCTGGCATCATCATCCTCACGAAATCTGGCAATCTGAATATAGATGGTTTCTTCCATTGAGTCTCTTCGTCGGAGAGCTCAGCTGGATTGTTGCGTGCTAGTTTCTTCTCCATGTCAAGCACCCAGCTTGTCTCCCTCTCTATGCTTACAGAAGAGTAATTATTGTTCGTGGCCATGGTAGTGGCCTGGCAAACAGTGGCAACAAAGCTAGATTGTTGGTTTAATATTGCTGCTTGGAATTTCGGAAGAGTGTGTGTTGGGAATTCCTGCCTACAGGAAGAAGCAAAATAAAATAGGGACCATATGGTTTTTGCAAGAGAATAACAAAGTTCGAATTTTTTTGCCTTTTTTTTCGGCCTGGAGGTAGCTACTTAAGGTATTAGATGCCAAGTTTGTGAACAACTACTATAATATTTAAGTCCAGAAACTACCAATTGAATTACGAGTGTGAATGTCATAAAAAAAATAGATTTATTTTGCAGGGAATGTTCATGGTTTACCAGCTGAACAAAATCATCGATCCCGCACAAATTGCTGGATAGACAATAGTTTAAAGAGACGAACCAAGTGTTTAATTTTAAAGAATGTGCAATATTATTGTCTTTGGAAAATGTATATTTCTTGTATAAATAGGTAGTGTCTGGTGAAATGGTTAGGCTATCAACATTGCAATCAAAGGATGTAGTTCTGATAATAATAACATTTTTTTTTAAAATTAATTTGAGCTCATGTCGTGTGCTGCCCAAAACCTTGCACATTCTTGCATCGGTACTCATGTTGATCTATGATCATCTTCATCATCCACATAGGTACCATTAGCCAACACTCATTTGTTGAGCTTGAGGTTCAACCCTCACTATATTAGGAATTGACCCTAAGCCCCATATGTTTTGTGAAATGTGAACAATTCGTCGAGACGGATTTGAGAGATCCGAAGCAAAACTTTCAATAGAATCACTCAAAAAATAAAAAACACAAAAAACACAAGGTAAAATTCTGAAGTACACTCAATATACCATCAAAACTAAAAATAAAAGTAATAACATCAAATAAAAGTATAAACAAACTTTAAAGTGCAATTTATAAACTACTAGTACTGATAACATAAATCTAAACATTTAAAAGAAGGTGAAACTATAAATAAAAGATGAAATAATAAGTAGAAGATGCATCATTAAATAATAAAAGAATTTAAATAATATACACATCTTATTTTATATAATTTCATAAGAGACTAGATGATAAACTTAGAATTTTTTCATCTAAACCATCACTAGAGTCATACTCATTAAGAGTAATTTCTTTGTTTACATCACTGACATCCTTTTAAGTTATGTCATCATGAATATAGTCAATTTGAATGTAAAAGATGAGGCACTTCTCTTTCATTATGAGTGAGTTCTACAGTTTTTCTGAATATTAATTGTCACTCTGAGTTTACTCATGATGATTACAATCTAATCAATATTATCTTTTACTCTATCAATGTATCAAAAATAATATATCAAAATCACTCGTCTTGCTAGAATAAAATGATCAAATTTAGCATATCTTTTGTTCAATTTAAATTTGAAAATATTATACTACTTGTTCACCCTTATTTCAAGATTAGGAACATGATCAAACTAATCGCAGTTGAACATGAATGCACTTCTCTCTATAAAGGCATGATATTATATTTTAACATTTTCTTCAAGAATCTCATGATTATCTATTTCATTATATGAATTAATTTTTACTTTAACACAAACACCAGAGTTATTAGCTTTTTTTTCTTCTTGACTAATTTTTGAAAATGTCTAAAGGATATCAAGTAACATCTGTTAAGCCCAAATCTGTTACTTCATTATTTCAATCATGAATCTATGAATTTCTTACACAATCACAATTTTATTATTTGTTTCAAAATAAATAACAATAAATATGCGAGATGAGTATAACTTACATGCGCTTTAAACCATTGAGAGAAGTCATTTTCTTTGTCCTGACTTATGATACTTTGATCTTTAAATTTGTTCGCCAGCAAAATGTATGAGAGACCATCAAACATTTACTTTTATCTTTTTCTTTTCACATTTAGCATACAATATTACGAAAAGAGCCACCATTAAATCTATCAGAATTAAAATTGGGCTTCTTTACATTTTCTTACGATTTATCCATATGCTCTCCTTTATCAACACTCTTCCTCTTGTTCGTCTCCTTAAATTTTTAAAAAAACGGAAAATCATTCTCTACTCATCTAGCACGTTCCACTAACAATGAATAGTCATAAATTCTCGAAAGCACCAACGACATTATTACTTTTTAGATGGACATATTGATTATCACCAAATTCCAATTTTTCCAAAGGATCAAGAGAAGACAACATTTACAAGCCCTTATGGAACATTTGCTTTTCGTATAATGTCTTTTGGATTATGCAATGCACCTGCAACATTTCAAAGTTGTATGATGTCAATATTTAGTGATTTGATTGAGCATGGAATAGAAGTATTTATGGATGATTTTTCTGTATTCAAAACTTTGTTTGAATTATGTTTAAATAATTTAGAAAAGGTTTTGGAAGTATGTGAAAGAATTAACCAAGTACTAAATTGGGAAAAATGTCAATTTATGGTTGCAGGAGGAATTGTACTCAGGCATAAAATTTTTGAAAATAGCATGGAAGTAGATTCTGCAAAAATTCAAGTTATTGAAAAATTACCACCAATGACTACCGTTAAAGGGGTAAAAAGCTTTTTTGGACATGCTGGTTTCTACAGGTGTTACATAAATTTTTTTTTGAAAATAACTAAGCCATTATGCCAGCTTTTAGAAAAATATATTTTAGAAAAAGATACAAAATTTGATTTTAATGAGGAAT